ATCGAAATTTACGTTTCATTCCACTTGATCTGAGAAATGTAAGGCTACAATCAAAATTTTAAAACGGTAACCCATCTGTAACGATACGTAGACAGTATATATATATATATATATATATATATATATAGTAGGGTCAGCCACCCCCGACCATATTTAGGCTTCCGGAGGCAAGTGTGGATTGTATATAGTTTATACGTGTTTCTTCATATACCGAAGCACCGAAACACAGTACTTCGCACGTTTAATAGTTGTATTATTGAATTGTACTTCTTTTACAGTTTCGATATCACAGTAACTTTAAAACTACCTAAAATGAGTTCCTTATTTCATCAGGATGACAAACGTGAATAAATACAAATCAATAAAGTCGCAAACGATCTCAGTGTCTCGAAGCATAATGTCACGCAGAATACCTTTCTCAAAGAATGTCCTTAATTGCACTTCCAATTTTCACTCGCCAATGGTGCACGTCTATCTAACAATTATGGTCACGAAGAGTGATTACAGATACGACACGTTTCGTTTCGATTGAAACTGGATGATTCATCTGGACTGGATTCATCATGCTTGACTTTCCCTTAGGTGTAATTCACCATAGACTCATAACGTTAATACTTATAGTTCGTTTCAAATAAACTCTCTCAGAAAAATACGCCGTATTTTATACAAATTTATCAATCTGCAATCTTATAGAAATAAGCTTTCCTTGTTACAAACAGCGTTCTATTGTTTCGTAATTGCTGCCAACAGTGAAGTCATTAGCTTCCAGCACTTTATTTTATGACAACCACAAGTTGTACTTTTACATAATTTGAAATATACTGGCTTGATTTTGAGATTAAATGTAGTTATTTAGCCACAGGGGAAAAACCCTTCGTTTTATTCACTTTTTGTTAACTATGGGTTCTACCACGAACTATCATCAATGTGAAACTGTCAGGCATCCAGGTTCGTCAAACATTCTATAAGCACTTTCTCCTTTTAAAGAAAAGCTTTTGCATTAGTAAAACACTAAGGTTACGTCTATCGGATAAGCGACGACATGCACACCAAGGGAACGTTTTGTACCAACATACCTGAAGATAAATATGTCAAAGAAAACTTGGGTCATAAAGTACCTTGCCATCAAAGTAGATCAAAATCAACCCTTGTAGCATAAATGTCAAACCATTGCATCAGTGAGAATTCTATGTGACAGTCTATTTAAACACGATTACTAAAGTAAATTTCCTTTTAATGAACCTCGTTTGCAACAGACAGGTGTCAATGTGAGTCTCGACTGTTTCCGGGTTTGTTTTCTGTTCTGTTCCGAAATAGTTTTCCAAGTACCAGGTGGTTGACCGATTTGTGCACATACTGGAGCAGCCTCGCATTAAAACCTAATTGTCAGGGTGTGGCTATACGCCGTTTATGGTAGGTGTTTACTTTACAACAAGGCGTTTGAATCACCTGACGACGAACAAAATACGTTCCGGTCAACCAATTAGACTGTGTTCCGATCTGGTCTGTGCTTTGTACATTTATGGCGAAAAGGGAGTATGCCAATCGATGATAGACCTATTCAAACCCACTTCCCTTACAGCTTTTGACAATGAAAGTAACAACAGATTTGTACACTAGCTAAAACTACTCCTTATTTATCGGTCAGATACGTTCCGTCGCGGCCCTCTTTTCTAGCCAAAACACTTTTAAAGTTGAAGTGTTCCGGGTTTGTATCTTTTTTTAAACCTATTGACGGTACAGTCCTCTCATAATGCAATGCAATATTGCTTACAGTCAAAGTACTTATATTGTTCTTACATTCTAGGATCTTTTCCAAAGCTTTGCTGTACTCGCTATATCTCTAAGACGCTCATGCATATTTCACACGGGACTCCTCCCTATCTTTTAAACTACTAATATTCCATCTCAACATGAAGATCTGCTTAACAGTAGCTCCATGTTGGTTGAAAAAAACGCTAAAGCTAAGGATACTCTTTGGTTATTCATCCTAAAGCTTCCACATTAATACACGATCACAACGTAGAAACAGAAGCCATTATTTAAAAATCAACTGAGGTGGGTAGAGGCGGGTTACAGAGTTGTAATTGTCGACATAGTCCCACAAAGCACATTTTAAACAAAACAACTGAGTGACCAACAAGTTCGTTTTCAGAGATTCTTATTCATGTCATTACACCTCAACACATATTACTACTTGGGAATGAAATTGTCATGGAAAAAGGAAATAAAATCCCAGACTACTATCGGGGCAGGTTCGCTGTCGGATGCTGGTTACAGCACACGCCGTGGACATTCGTCTGCATAACAACCCCCTCTGTGGGCCCAGAAACAATTTACGCATGCTTTAAAGCTTCCCTGATCCATCTGCGGCACACACATGGAGCCACGAGGATTTTAAATGATCGAGTAAGTGGACAAACAAATATGTGATCGTATTGAATCCGATTTCCGGTCTCATGATCAAATCGTTTCTAGTAATCTGCGGTTTTGTTTTATTTTCCCAAAACAACTTCATTCCAAAGTAGTGATATATATATATATATATATAAAGAGAGAGAGAGTTATAATTATTTGATTCTACTGATTACACGAAACGTTCATTCCGTCATCGTTTGATTTTTCGAACAACGGTTGATTGTGTCATTGTCGGACCATGATAACCTCAACATATGAATAACCCGCTTTTGTTTGGTGATCAGTTCGAATAATTACCATCTCCGACGTGTAAAACATCATTTGCCTCATTTATTATTGGCAGATGCATCGTTGTTCTGTACACTACATTGGATGATCTTTCAATATCTACCATATGCCCGTGTTCATCAGATGCTCCACAGTTGAGCTGCGAATGAACTTTGTTAGTCCTTTTCTCAGTCAGGCCGTGTGATACGCTTGACTCAGTTTGGTCAAATGCCGACTAGTACGAACAGTATAAGCGGCTACGCAGCAGAACTTAATTGAGAAACGCACAGAAATGGTTGACAGTGGCATCATCTTGGAGATGATGTAAGAGTTGCTATTTTGTGGTTTCATTTTCAGATACTCCTCGATTAACTTGTATGGGTATCTATTCTACCTTAAAGTACTTGCAATTGCTTTGATTCATCTGCACTATTGTGTTCGAACAAAGCATTCTTGCACGATGGGTTAGAAAACGCACTATGTTTCGTTTTGGCTTGATCGGTGTCGCACTGTGGAAGTTTATATGTTTTTTATATACCAAGGACTTGGAGAAACCATGCTATGTGAGTACAGCTTACAATAAATATCAAGCACGTTGAGAATAAAAATATCACCACAGTCACTCTTTGTCGGGTTGACCTAGTTACGTTCAAGAGATTTTCAGTTTTGCGCGATGGAACCGTCAAGTTAGCTTTTTCCGCAAATACCTATTAATTTCTAATCAGAAAATAGATCATACGATTTAAAGTTTTCTAACAATTAGATTTTCTCCAGTTGAGCAGGCGAAGATGTCAGGGGGAAGTGGGCCATCAGGTAGAAGGTGAACCACTGTCAGTTCAAATCCATTACACTTAGGATAGGCCTTCAATCGCCTCTTTAAATACTAGATCGGTCTCGTACACAAGCTAAGAGGCTGTTGAATGAACGGACGTAAATGCTGCTCCCTTTTGATTTTCAATCCTTCTTTTGTCGTAAACGTTTAGAACTATACACAACAGACCATTTTCCGGTTTCACAAACGGGCTGAAAAACTTTTTCCTCTGAATTATCTCCCCAACCTTATAATATCTTGTAGCTTGCTTTTTTCACTGTATCACGTGTTTATTTACAAAATGAATGGACTAAGATTTGTTAGTTGATTTAATCAGCTCAAAACGTACTATAGTATTTAGGTTCATTCTTCGCTGACGGGACCAACTGCTTCTAAATGTGTTTCCAATGTTATATGTTGATTATCTCTATCCTAGTCCCCTAAATCTTTGCTATTCATTGTTCGTTGTTCTCAAAGTTAGGAGCCATTGTCATCAAACTGTCAGTTAACAATGAAGACGTCACAATAGAACTTTTAATTGTTCATCGGTTAGAATAACACTGCGACGTTTGACTGGGATTCTAAGATGAGTGAGTTCAACCTAATTATATTTAAATTAGTTTCTAATTATTTATGTACATGGTTTACTACCACATTTGCCGCAAACATGTGGGTTGCAAGGTTTATCAGAGAGATGCTGATAATTCTGTTTGCGATCACTTTTGTTCATCTCTCTTTTTGCCAAGCCCGAAAAGTTGCTGGTCATGGACATCGATTATTGTTATTGTTTTCGACAGCTGCCTCAAGGAATGTGTTAGTTAATGAATAACGAAACGTTACGTGAAATTGGTCGTGAATTGAATCGGATTTTTTTTACCTAGTGTGTGTGTTTGTGTTTCAGTAAGCTTTTCCAACACCAAGAGCAAACTATTCAGATGTTTGTGATAAGTGCAATGTTCACAGTGCTGTAGTCTGTCTTATCTGCGAACAATGTCATAAGCCATGGATATAATTTTGTGGCGTGAGTTACTCCCATTGATCCACTTAGTTCCGCTTAGTTTTCATCGACTAACTGACTAATCACGGCATATGCCCATTGATTAAGAACAACTGCAGCACTGTGTTTTTAACTAACTGACTGTTGACAGCTTTGTTACCTTTCTCAAGCCTCAACTGCAGGGCTTTCGTAAAAATTCGTTTCAAAAAGTAGGATAAAGCATTGCAAATATGTTCGGCTGTTTCGGCTCCCTTGGACTTTGCAAATCTATCTGTCCCACTGAGGATTGAACCCGGGACCTCACAGGTGGAACATAAACCTAATACCCACTTGACCATCGAACAACAGTTGAGATATCAAAATGATCACCGGTCACGAGAAACCATGAAACAGTCCGGTTACAGTCAAGTTACGGTTTGGAGCTATGAAAGTTTTTCATTGCATTTTTGTAAGCGTCNCGTTTCATGCAGTTAATCATATTTTTAATCCATCTACATTGCATTTCAGTTCAGCAGTTGCTGGTTCGACAAGTATACTTGCTTGCCTTATCCAATCCAATTTATGTGGAATGGTTGCGTGTGTCCACCGCCGTCCGCTGTGATCTTGGTTGGTTAGTACCACTTAACCCGTCATATTTGGATGCAGGTAAACAACAGTCCACTCCCAACGCTCTACTACTCCATCAACTTGTTCTGAGTCGACCCCCACTGATTGATGTGGTCCCGCTACAACTCCGTTTGGCCGAGCACAAAGTGGCACTTGAGCTCGAGGAACGGCGTANTGAAACATTAAACAATGCTAATTTCCAGGGCGCTAAATCGGATGTGAGTTGGTCAGCTATTTTTTCATTTCGGAAGGCAGTTAAAACAGATGCTCTGTATACATGCGTGGAACGAATCAGATGCTAGATACTGTTACCGTTGTTCACTAAGTATCTCTTGTTTGATGTGCTGAGAATAGTGTTCAATGAATGGGCTCACTGATTTTCTCGGCGAACAACAATGCCGATCACATAGTGAGCAACGTCTGAAACATTTGTCATCTTGAAGAAGTCGGAACTACAAAGAACACACAACATCATCAATAACACATTCACTGACATTAAATTCACAATAAAGTTGAAGAAGGAATAATAACATCTCGATAATCAGAAAGCCATCAGGAAAACTGGAGACAACGGTCCACCGCAAAGCAACGCATACGGATCAAATAATAAACTTCAAAAGTAATCATCCACACAGCCACAAAAGATACTGTGTTAGGGCTCTGATCGGGAGAATCCAAACGCACTGCAGCCCCAATATAATCAAGAAGAAAGATGGAAGATACCTCATCAGAGTATTTGCTCCCAATGACTACTAGACCCGTAACTTCAATAAAAGAACTCTGACTCAAAAAACCGAGAATCTGGAACAAGGTCGACCCTGCCGTAAGGTAAGGATGTTTCGGAAATGACAGCAATACTGCTCATATCATATGGAATCCCTGTCCCCCCAAACCCACCACCCATTTAAGAAGACTTCTGTCGAAACCAGAGGAGATGACAGTGGAGAAGGACAAGAACAATGCTATCTAAGACATAAACTGCAAGAACTGCCCAAAACACTGTATCGGACAAACTGGAGGAAAACTATCAAGAAGGATCCGTGAACACCAATCGGCAGTCAAGAGGCATGACCCACAATCACGATGCGATGGTGAGGCATATCTTTTTAATTGGATTGCAGGACAGCCCATGTTGGGACGCTTTCGAGAGAAATTTTCACTACGCCAGTTAGAGAACCGCAAGAAAGCTGCTGGCAGCGGATACAAATGCAAATCGACCTTCGATGCGGAGCGCTCTCATTGCCTCTCAAATCAATCAACAAACAAATAATCCGATGAATACTGAACGGTCATCAAACAAGCTGTCTCTAGTGTCGACAAAAACAACCGTAGATTCTGGTACACGATCGAAATACAAATAAAGGATTTCATTGGCATCGGCTGCCTTGCCGGATGTTCGAAGAACCATTCCTCCGGATGCAAAATACGACGCAGCGCGTAAATCAATTAAATGCCAACTTAACCGGAGCCTTAGGAATGATCTTGAGAAGTGGTAGGCAGTGAAATTTGAAGCGATAGGAAATACTGCTGCTGTTTGTAACAGTCGCAATCCGTTTCGTATGATTAAGAATATGTTCTCTAGGTAACTAGGCACGAATGAAGCAATTAGGAAGTTCGATGGTACACAGATTTATCTTTAGTAACGCCGTCTTGATCGATGGACTGAACATTTAAAGGCCCAGTTCAATTGGCTGCCATCGACATTAGGCCTGTCAACCCCTACTCCAACTAGACAACTACTGCCATTTGATATCACTCTTCCATCTGAAATGGAGGTTGCCAGGTAAGTAAGTTGTCTCAAAATGTATAAGACTCCCAGCCCGAATGGGCAGTCCCTAATGGCTTTTAGGGTAAAGATCAAGTTAGAGTTTTTTAGTTGAATTTCTTGTCTGTCGACTGTCTGCTATTCGTGAACAATGTAGGGGCGAGAACCGGGCTTGTTTTAGACCCAACCGAGGCTTTATTTACCACATGTTCACTCTTCACCATATTCTATAACACAGAAATGCTTTTCTTACACCCACCACTTCTACCTTCCTCGATCTGAAAGCGATTTCCGATTCAGCCTGAAGCGTTTGCTTTAAAACGTTATTTCAATAATACGATCCCTTAATGCTAATAGCTGAAGTGGAGTCCGAGCTTACGGCACATTTTCACTTGAGCTGATCACAGGAGGCGGTGTTCCTCAGCGTTGCCCTCTCGCTCTACTTTTCTACTCAACTTTGCAATGGATCTGATTATGGAAACATCCTTGTCCTCCTGCGAGGATAGTGGCATTGATATCCTCTCAGGTGGTAAACTCTCTGGTCTGAAGTATGCTGACGAAATTGTACTGCTTATTTGAGATCCACCTAACCTGCAAGCTGTTTTGAACGGTTTGCATTCTAGCAAAGTTCCCATGTTTGGCATGCGTTTTGCGTCTTCAAAGTACAAGCTGTTGCTACAGGACTGGATTAGTCCAGCTCCAGACCTCACTAACTGCGAAGTAATAGGGATATGGAACAAATTTTTTAATTAGATAGCTGCGAATTACCCGGTGGACGCATCACAAATGAGGTGTCAGCATGCATACAGAAGGCTCGATTGGCATTTGCCAGCTTGAGACATCTCTGATGCTGTCGCGACATCCGGTTGTCTTTGACAGGTCTAGTTTATGCGCGGTAGTTCGACCATCTGTGCTGTACTGTGCAAAGACCTGTTCATTACGAAGACAAGATACAAATATGCTGCCCGTATTCGAACAGCGCTCTTTTTACCGCGTTGCACGAGTCCGGTGGATAAACCAGATAAGCAATGCTGTAGTTAGCAGTAGCGCTTTAGGAGATCGCGGAAACTATGTTCGACCCATATGAATCATGTTGCTTGGGGC